CTTCTTGTCAGATAGTTTATAATTACATATAATAGGGGTGTGGGTGTATATAAAATTTTTTTAATAGCACAAGCTACTTGCGACCGGTTTCGACCTTGCTTAAGGGTCATCTTCAGCAATTGTGTAAATAAAGGATGTTGTGGGATATGCTGCTACGATTTGGAGTGTAAAAGCAGTCGAATCGGAAAGAATGGTATTCGGCGTAGATTTTTGAGCGTTGTTATGACATAGTTGATAGTGTTTTTTGTGGCGCAGAGGAATTTGTTTTGGGAAGGAATAGATGTTTATAAATCTATGGACAAGTAGCGTAGAATCTTCTGTCGGAAGATTTTTGTTTGTTGATATGTGTAGTATCCGATTTGGCGTTTGTTGTTTCGATAGTGTAGATGGAATGAAGGTAGTTTAGTGCGAGTTGGATGGATTAGTGGAAATGGCGAGCAGTTTTATGACGTAGTAGTATGTCAAATGGTTTGTTAGTGCTTGTAATTTTAGTGTTTTTTTAGGGATAATCTGGTAAGTGTTTGAAATATGTGAGTTCGTTTTGGAGTGGACTGGTAATTTCATCCGATGATGTTTTTTTTTTAATTTGTGTTTCATTGATTATGTTTGTTTATTCTGGATAATGTTTCCGATGTGGTATTGTCGCAGTTCTGATACCTAATGCAGAGCTAGTGGAGATAGGTTTTTGGTGAATCGATTGATGTTTTGGTTTCAGTCAAGCCGTTGTCTGATAATCTGTATAAATGTTGAGCGAACCTAGGTTGATTTGTCGTGTATTTGGTAGTGATATGGGTGGATTTATAACGAGAATGTCATGGATTTGTTCAGTTGAGTAGGAAACTAGTAAGTGTGCTTTCAGGATTATAATTATCTAGAATGAAACTATATATATTAGTATGATATTAGAAGAAGTGCGCAAATGTATTTTATTAATCTAAGGTTAACTATTTCGCACACAGACTACAAACACTAAAGATTAACTAATATCTACGAGGTAAATAAAGTTGCTTATATTGATTAAATGTTATTTTATGATAGTGACCATTGTAGTTTTAAAAGGTCACTGAGTTGATGTCGTGATTTACTTTGATGAATGATTCAAATTAGCACACCAATGTAGGTTATACGAAGGACCGTAACGTTTTTCAGCATCACCACCAAGTGGGCAAATCATATTCAATTTAGTTTCACCATGAATAATGAATAATGTTTCGATGATGTATCGTAGTATCATTGAACAATCATCTGGTACTAAATCAGTGTGAAAGAAAAACAGGTATAAATGATAATGATGATGATGATGTGGTTGATAAAGATGGATTTACTTACAAACGGCAATAATTGCTATGTTATACAAATCTAATTTGATATAAGACAGGTAATGAATGGAAGACGTAGCAAATCGTTCGAAAAATAGACGCTGTTGTTTTACCTGTCGAAATGAGAAGGCATAGGAAGTTGGTGGTAATGGTACATTATCTAGATAACTGGTCACCCTACGATTGTCTACGGCAGTTGTTGCTATCACAGTATCCAGATTGGGATCTGTAGTAGAAGTTCCTGGTCGATTAGCAACATTTTCCGTTACTGCTTCATCCCAAGGTAGAGAAATAAAACACCAATACATAGGATTACAATCAAGAAATGAACGAAGTGCTTCTGGACAACGAGCTGAATGTTGATAGAGACGCATTTGATTAGCCATTTCTTTTCTACAACAACGAAAAAGAAAACAAAGAATATGTAGCATAATTGAAAGAATGATCGAATGTCTTTTATTACTCTCTTTCATTAGGATCGATTTGTGATCCTCGAAATAGAGGACTACCAGTTAATTTTTCATGTATAATTCGATTGCCATGTTCTCGATGATCTGTATATTATAAGAAAATGAAGAAGAGAAATAAAGACATGCTCATGATTATCGTAAGAAAATTTATATTTACAAGCCATAGCATCAGCCAATGTTTTTGCTATTGAATCAACATAATCATAATGACCACATGGACATGTCATGGCATAAATTATATTCGATGTAGTACGTGTCTAAATTTTAGTCATAGTCGATCGATATAAAATTCAACATTTAAGGACAACATACTGCTGGACAATTGAGATAGGTAGTATAACCATTGAGAAATCGATGTATTGAACTTGAAACAAAATTAACAATTGGCCATGGTTGACTTTTCTTGTAAGTATTTAATGGAAGACAACATTGACAAAAAAGATTATCACATGGAACCAATGAATATCTTGCTTGAGGTTCATCTCTTCCACAAAATAGACCTTCTATATTAGATGGAGGTTGAGCTCCTCGAAACGAACAAGTTTTCATATAGAATAAATCCACTAAAAAATATGAAACATATATGCATCATATTCCCTTTTCTGAAAGAAAGGGTCTTAAATTCGAAAAATGTTGCTACGTTTGTCTGTCTGGCCAAACCAATCAGAAACGAGCTTTTCTATTTTTAGTTTTTTGATCATTCTGATGAAACTATGCTACAGGTTATCGGGGGCAAGAAATCCGAATCCGAGGTCGCATTTTTGACCTGAGCTTTTATTGGTCGGTTTTTTGACCAATCAGAAACGATCTTTTCTATTCATCGAGTTTTCGACCATTCTGACGAAACTTTGCTATAGGTTATTGAGGGTGAGAAATCCGAATCTTAGGTCGGATTTTTTTCTCTGAGCTTTCATTGGTCAGAAAACGGGCCAGTCAGAAACGGACTTTTCTGTTCTTTGGGTTTTCGACCATTCTGGTGAAACTTTTGCGATAGATTATTGGGGTGACAGGTCCGAATTGCAGGTCGGATTTTTTATCTGAGCTTTCATTGGTCGAGAAACGAATCAGTCAGAAACGAGCTTTTCTATTGTTCGGATTTTCAACCATTTTGAGAAAACTTTGCTATAGGCTATCATGGGCGAGGAATGCGAATGTGAGGTCGAGTTTTTTATCTAAGTTTTCATTGGTTAGGAGTTCGACCAATCAGGAACAAGCTTCTCTACTTTTCGCGTTTTGCGCGGTTTGGTGAAAATTTGTGACCAGTTATCGAGGACTGGGAGTTTGAATCTGGGATGGAGTTTTTATTCGAGCATCCTCTTGTCGAAAACCTGGCCAATGAAAAAGAACTTTTACTTTTTTGCAGGTTGTATGCGTTGCGGTGGGGATATATGAATTATAGGAGATATAAAATATATAAAATACATTGGAGATACAGCAGGTATTAGGGGTCATATATTAAGGATGTCCAGTACAAAGAAAAGCTTTCAGAAGAAGTCGATTCACTCAAATATAGTACTTCTTTTTCGTCAAATAAAAATTTTGAAAATTTCATCGAAAATAAAAACAAGTAACGCTCATCTAACGATTCGTTCACCCTTTTCTGAAAGAAGAAGATTATTTCGATTAATACTTTTTCCATAAATAAAGCGAATATTGTTAGTTTTTCTTCATTTTTTCTAAACTATGCTGT